AAGTTCCAATTCAGATATGCTTTTTCCTCTCTGTTTGAAGCTACTTAGTGTACTTAGAAAATTATTTTGGTAAGTATATTTGCATCAATGCAACTGATTTTTTTAACACATGAAGATTTCAATAGTTAACATTTAAACCATGTGAACAAAACTGCTTCAAAAAGTTAAGTTTGTAACAGTAAACACAGCAGAAATGTGAGTTCAAGATGTGCTTCAGGTGAATGGTTCTCTCTTCATCTGTGATAATCCTACCATTTGTTTTCATCTGTTAGAAGCCATCTGTCAGTGTACAGAAGGTTGGCTGAATGCAGTTCAGAAATATCTCTGACTACTTAGCCAAACTGATCATCAGCTGTTTTTAAAAGCAATGTGGATGGTTGCAGCATCTCATGCTGTAAATGAAGTCTAGTGTCAGTGCTTGATGTTGCATTAAAACATGGCTTTGGTCCAGAATTTGCAGAACTGCAGTTTCACGGGTGTGTAATTCCATATATGCAAGGGCAATGAAGAATGTAGAGTTTGGTCAGTGTTGTCCTTCACAAAGAAAATAAGCCAAGGTGGTATTCATAACTTCATAGGGTTATTTTTTAGGCAGAAAGAAACATGGCTTACAGGGCTGCATTCTCAGTCAGAATCTACCCCCTCTGAAATTTAGCCCATCGGCAAATTTCAACCAAATGGAACAGCATAGTAGAGATGTTAAAGATGCTGAGTCCCTACAGGTTCATGAAAAGCAGTTCTTCATAGAAAGGAAAGATCAAAATCTAGATTTTCTGTTTTGTAGAGTTTTCTGCTTGGTCAGTCAGCTTGTATTACTAGTTGTCTGGTCATCAGATGTATGCATCCAAACCAGGCAAATCATATTGTCTCTTAACCAACTGGTATTGAGGAGAGATACAGGCAGTAGTTTGGGAAAACTTGAGAGAGGAACAAGGCTCATCTTGAACTGGGTTTCCTGTAGATGTCTTGGTATGTCTTTGATGTGTTAAAGTTTCCCCCAAGCATGCAGCTTTGTGTGCCTTCAAAAATCTCTCTTTCGTGTCTATGTGATACTTCCACGTTTTCTTGGCTCTATCAAGTGTGCTGGCCCGGCTACCTTGGCTTTATGCATCAGAGAGCGCTCCTGATCACAGCATAGGGTTATTGTCTCCCACCAGATGGTCTCAGTTTTCACATCTTTTCAGAAGCTGAACTCTGCATAATGGGAGAAGAATATTTTTGAGGTGGTCACTTCACCATCTTTTGAGGGTCATGACTTCGACCCACCAAATTAGGAGCAAGCTGCCTCTAGATTGGTTTGGATCAGAGCCGAGGCAGACTAGTGGGCAGCGTGATGTTAATGTTTGCAGGGCATCCGTCAAGGTTGAAAGCAGGTGGAGAAGGCTCTGGACTGTGGTAACTGACCTCTCAGGTTGACGTAGCTTGTATCATAGCTCTGGTACTTCAAAGTAGAGCTCAAATTTAAGAGTAGAGCTGATCAATTTATTTTTAGTGAACCTGTTCCTCATGGAAGAATACAGCCATTCTGCATCTTTATGCAGAATCCTCTTTGGGCAGGACAAGCTAAAGAAGTGGAAATATATATATATGTGTATATATATATATATATTTTTTTTTTCTTGCAGCAGCATGGTCGTATATTCCAACTTTCATGTCTTTAATTTCAGCTCATCTCTGTGAAACTGCTGTCTTCCTACTAGGTTTATAAGATTTTTAAAAAAGAGCATGCAAAACAATTAATCCATCCTCCCCACCCTCCTTCCCAACACCCCTTTGCCTCTGAATTTCTGACAAAACTGATTTCAGACTTGGACAGAGGTGTTTACTTTGCTGACTGTGCAGATGACATGAGGTGGACCTTGTGTCTCCCCTGGGATGGGCCCGGCTGCACTGTGTAGGGTGAGTGACTCTGCTCTGATACTTGCAAGGCAGAGGAGCCGTTCGCTGCAGTGCTGGTGAATCCCAGGATCACACAAGGTCATCTCTCCTGAGCTGCCCAGAAACAGTTGGCTCGGGCTCCTCAAGGTGCCAAATGTTTTATTCAATTATGTTTTTTAAAGGAAGCAAACTCGGGTATTCTCAGGTTGAGAAAATATTTTGTTTCCTTTGGGATATTAAAAAAAAAAAAAGAAAAAAGGCTGAAGGAAAGTTGGAAAGGGTACCCCAGTGCTATTAGTTTGGCTTTTTTTCAGCAAATTAACCAAATATTTTGTTTTAGAAATTTCATGCTTCTTGCTTTGAATTTAGTCACCTGCAGCTGGGCTGCTAAGCTAATGAATGTGGTTTCCATGAACTGCTGATATTTCGAGAAGTGTCTGTGGCCTCTGCAGCCTCTTGCCTTTCATGCAGGTGGTAGCCTCTGGCAGCAGTTTGCTTCTGCCCGTGACCTTTTTATTAACCTCATATGTTGCCTCTCTTGGGGAGGAAAGGAGAAATGTTACACGAATCTCTTAAAACCTGGGTGCCAGCAATTGCTAAAGGGAGTACTGAAGTTGTTGGAAGCTTCATAAAAAGAAATAAAAAAAAGATAAATGTGGGGAGAAAAACACTAACGGCTTTAGTTTTCGTAAGATGTTATACTGCAGAGAGCTTGACTGGGAAGTGAATCAGATTACTGCTCTGTTCTGCTCTGTGGTGTCTGCTCTTCCATATTTCCTTTTTACTGCGTTTAGACATGTTCTTCAGGTTTAAAGAACTATGGGGTTTTCCCAGATGAATCTGTACAGAGCAGTGTATTCTTGATTTATGTGTCTTATGCCTCTGGATGTTGTTTCTGGCAAATATCTTGATATTAGTAAGATATTATTAGTTTAAATATTGCTTTTCCTCCCAAAATGGTTTTGTGTGCTCTTGCGAGTATAAAGAACATTTGCTTTGACTGTTCTCTTGTTCTTAGACAACTTTAAGTTCATTTTCCTGAATAATTGTGTTAAGGGTAGTTGTAAACTTCATCCCAACTGTCACTGTGCTGTAGAGAACAGGGGTGCCAAAATACTTGACAGAGCTGGAGCCAGGTTTGGTTTTGATGCGAAAGAGACTGTGTGACTCTGTGTTGTGTGACTTGGAGGATCTGATCGCCCAGAATCTACCTACAAGAGAAGAACATTATGTTCTGCTTTAGGTTTCCTTACAATTCTTCTATCCTGTCTAAGGGGCAGGCTTTGAACACCTGGAATACTGAGGCGCTTGAAGCCCCATAAGCTGTTCAAAGCTTCAGTGGCTTCTTCAAACTAACCTCAAGGTGTAAGTACTACATCTATACTACATAGTGGTAGTTCGGGAAGTCTCTAAAGCACTGCCTGCTAGGCCTTACGTGGCTATATAAGAGGACTGTTTTTAGCTGTAAGCACCAGCCATTGCTGGAAATAGGGTACCAGTCAAGGGTAATTTTTTATGTTGTTGTTTCATGATCATCGCTGAATGGGTGAGTTCAGGTTGTGTCCAAATGTGAACTTACACGGATTGGTTCTTGACCCTTCGTATTTCTTTGAATTGGTGATCTGGAAGAGCGCATCAAAATATTGTTGAAAAATTTTGCAGCTGAGGAAAAGAGCAGGGCAGAAATTGCTGCAGGAGGCCAGGCGCGTGATGCGGAGCAGTCGGGGTGACCTCCTCAGCTCACAAAGTCTCCGTAAAGCCAAATATGAAATCTCACATCCAGCAAACCGGAGCTCAGGCTGCAGTTACAGATGGCTGCCCCCCTTCAGAGGAGCACCGACAGTGAAAAAGAGGGCTAAACAGTTCATCAGTCCTGTGTGCCTGGCTTCAGACGTGGAACACATGGGTAATAGCGGAGAGGTCGTTTTGTCCCTGCAGCTGGCAGGGGGTGACTGTGCTCGAGATACTCCTTGCAGGTTTGGAATATTTAGAGGTAAATTTTGAAGAAGAAGAAAGAACAGTCCCAAGAATGACAAAAGGAGTGAAAAGCTTTATTCTAAGCAGGAGATTCAGGAAACTCCATCTTTTCCACTCATCAGAAGGCAAGGGGGGGGGGGTTGGAGGGAGGCAAAAAGATTTTTGCTAGCAGCTAAACTGAGACAAATTCAAACTCCCAGCTGAGCGCAAACTGGTAAAAGGAAAGATTTTAACCTTTTATTAGTGACCGTCATTTTTCTTCTGCCACAAAAAGAATCTTGCAACATGTTATCTTAGGGACACATTACTTTGAAGGAGATTTAAGAGAATTTCGGTATTAGATTTTGAAATTAAGGGTATTGGAGGTGGCCAAACCAAGTGGCCTTTGCCACATGATATGTAGCTAGAAGTAGTTAAGCGATTTGACTGCAACAGAGCTGACCAAACCTACCCTACTGAACCCAAAAGAGCCCCCTATACTTGGGCTACAACCCCTTGGTTGGGTGGATAGGAGGGTGGTTTGGGCTGAGTGCCATCTGGGACTCAGAAGGCCCATGAGTTTTTCCTCTTGAGTGTTCAGAGTTGGTTAATTCCAAAGAAAAATATGGGAAGTTAAGGTGAATGTGAACTGAAATATGAGCAAAAGGAGGTTTTGCCAGCCCATGTGCTGTGATCTTGTGCTGTCAACGTGTGACTCCACATTGAAATCGCTGGATGTAGGCTGGTGCTATAGCAGTTAAGGCCAGGGAGCTGGCCACAGTCTGGTTGCCTCAAATAGCTGTTTTTAGCTCAAACTAGGCCTGAACCTTGGTCATTGTTTTAATGCTGCCATTAAAGCCAGGCTGTACTAGAGTAGTAATAATAGTAATAAATCACGTTTCTTGTTACCATTTTCAAATAGTGGGTGAAGAAAAAGCTGGTGCTCCTGAGCCCAAGCAGAGCCTCCCTTTGGCTTTGTGTGTGAGGGTCTCTCTGTGAGGCCGCTCCAGCGCTAGGCCGCAGTCAGTCGCGGGAGCGCTTCGTGGCGTGGGGGTCCTCGGCACCAAACCTTTCTCTGCAGCCTTCAACGTGCAGCACCCGCTGCTAAAAATCCTCAGCAGAGGAGATCCTGGGGACATGGGTGACACCTCCAAATTGACGTTCAGCTGCTGCCTCATGCACGGATTGCTGCTCAAGCTGATGTGCAGGAGCCACTTAGGGCTGGTGCCCTTCCTGGTGTCTCAAGTCAGGCTGAAGTTGTAGAGGCCTCAAGTGAGATCCTCAGGTAGGTCTTCTGCTTCTCTCGTGCGTGGGGTTTGTCCCTTAAGAGCTCTCAGAGCTACGTACCCCAAATACTTTTTGAATACCAATAATCAAGTTATGTAATATTTCTCTTACACATCTCTACTGAATTGGAGATGAAGTTCTTTTGACTCCAAATCTCATCCTGTAATTGAACAGATGCTTGCAAAGAATTGAAATCCTTGGCTAAAACCTCCTGCAGATCTGTGAATTCTAGTGTGATATTTTAGCTGTTCATGATTGCGATCCTGTGGAATAAAGCACATGTGAGCGCACAGAGTGTTTGTGCATAATGTCTAAACTAGTGACCTGCATCTCTCTGGACCTTTGAGGAGACTCCTTGTGCCTTTCAGAAGAGGGTTATTAATAAAAGATTGTATGAGACCTGGAAGAATGCACTTCTGGGGAGAGAAAATGGTAGGCATATATTCCTAGTTCGATGGTGGAGCGGTGAAGGGGAAGAGCAGCTCTTTGTATGATTTTTATTCATCAGCTTGCCCTGGCTGAGGAAAAGTTTGTTAGTATAAGGCATTCCCTACGTGGTTTTCACCGAATTGTCTGTTATTTTTATGCTTCTTGCTCAGACCTGACTTCCAGTGAAGGAATTAGTTGTAGGCTTTTGCTTGGAAATCTTAATTTTTTAATATAGTTATTAGCTGATCTTGGACTGCCTTATGCTAGTTGCTGTACGAGGCAGTCACTCCTGGAAAAAATTGCAGTGAGGTAGAAAATACAATGAAAACGAGGGAAAGTGAGGCAAAAATGCATTTCTTTCTTGTTGATGACGAGTTAAATAGCCTTCCAGAGGCTGCAGACTGGAGTTCATGGAAAGCCAAAAATTTTCTTGCTCACCTGGAACAACATTCTGTTCTGCCCCTCTGAAACCTGTTTTGCAAAGACAATTTGGCGAGGAATTTCAAATTTCCTTTGGTTTCAACTTCACAGCACTGAGATGAAGGCTTTATCCGAGCATCTGCAGAAGGCCGAGGGGAAGCCTTCCTGTGGTGGATGTGGGCTGACCAAGGCATGTCTAGCGAAGGAAATGACCTCCCCGGTAGCACATTATTGTGTCTCCTTGTCAGAACGGAGGTGAAACAGCTCTGCAAGCAGCACTTTAATGGTAAACATCCCCAGAAACAGCTATGGCTTAGACTTTTTTGTTGTTGTTGTGCAACACTTTAACGTTGTCTCCGTTTTTGCAAAGAGGAAGACAAATCCACTCTAATGTTCTAAGCAGTTTTCAGCTGGAACGTGTATGGAAAATGGTGTTCACACAGTAACAGAAAAGTGTGACTTTATGGAAAATAACATTTTTGAAGGGGAAAACATCAATCTTTTTAGTATGCATTTTTACAGAAGAAAAGCAGTTGTGAAACTTTTTTGTGAATGACAAACGTCTGTGTGAACCACTTCTTTTAAATAGAGACTTCTCTTTAGCAAGGGAGAAAAGTTATAGCAAGCATTTAAGCAATCTGTAATAACTGTTCTCTAATAACTGTTCTTTCTCTGCATCCCACCTTCAGTTCTTCGGCAGCCACTGGAGATGAGTTCAGTCTGTTTAGGAGTCCCTTTAAATACTAAATGTATACAATAAGAAATATCCATGTATTACTATGCTAAAATGACATTTTATAATGGATATTTTGCATGTATCTATTGTATATAAACATTGATATGAGGATCACCCCTGCATTAGAGAGAGACTGCCATGCTGTCTATAGAAAGATACTATATTCTTACTTTGTTGATGTCTAAAGCTTTTCATCATGCAAGTTGTAGGAAATGAATTGCTGAGCAGGCTGCAGTACAGAATTTTTGCTCAATACAAGTTTCAAACACCTAGGCAGCTTTCAGATTTGTAGTCAAGCTCAATAACAACTATTTCGGGGAAGTGTGGGCGAATTGGGATATACAGTTTCGGTGAGGAAGCAAGAAGTATAGTACCCAAAAATATATATGTAGCAAATGGATGACTCAAGTTGGACTTCACTTAGAAAGCAGGCTCTAATACAGCTCTGAGAGTAGCAAGGATATTGAGTAACTGGAGAGGGTGGCCATATGTTTCCATACTTAGCTTACATAACTACTCTTTGAGTAAGTTTTCTTACACTTCAGATGGGATTTTTCTCTGATTTCTGTGTGTTTTGGAGACTGGGGATTTTTATTAATTAAAAGTGGTTGAAAAGCACTTTTTTTTTAAAAATAAATCTTGTTCTCATTTTATGCCACTCAAGTGAACAGATGGCTCACATTTTTACTAAGACTTTCCAGAATAAAAATGTGATTTCTGGCTCTTCTCTGTGTGTTTAAAAACAACTTGAAGTTGCACAATTAAACTATGAATTTCTAAATATTCTAATTTTCTGAGTTCTCCATTAGTATTTATTGTTCTGATGCACAGTATAGAATCAGCAGTTCTTCCTCAGGTAACTGGGAAAATGCTTGGCTTTCCGAACAGCGTCTGAGAACGGCCGGATCTCAGGTGCCCGGAGCGTCAGCTAAAGGTGGTCTTCAGAGAGGACGTGCCAATTAATCCTTTTTTTCCTTCTTCTTGCCTTTCTTAGGAAACTACTGGAAGAATGTTGTGACCCTGGCCAGCTCTTTGCCATGACAAAGCAGAACTCCCCCATGGGAAAGAATCTCTGGTTTGACGGGGAATTGTTATATTCTTTCACTATTGATAATGCAACTTACTCGCTCTTCCCACAGGTTAGTAGCTTTGCTCTGTCACTTTAATTATCAATATATTAATATATGCAATGGTAGCATGGTGTAAGAAATGGTGTTATCCTCATTTCTCAATACAAAATTCTCTCGTCTGCTTTTTTACTTCTGTGGTGCGAATAGATGCGAATATTATGAAATAGTGACCTGTATGTTAATATTGCCCTGTCACTTTCCAGGATGGGTCCCTTCAGATATAAAAAGTTCATGAGATTGAGAAGCCCTTCTTGATTTTTAAAATAATGATAAAGGCTGGCTATTTTAGAAAGGTGGTGTCTGTATTTTAGTTGCTGATTGCGCTCACAAACCTAGGTTTCAAACTCCGACTCCTGCCTTCGTTAAACGAGGCCTGAGCCTCTTACATAATCCTGTGTCCTCAGAGCTGTCACTTTAAATAAAACATCAAGTCTGGCAAGACGTGTGATGACACTATGAGAACTGGCAACGCTGCAGAACGCAGAGGTGAATCTTGAGGGAAACGGGCTTTGCTCGCAGAGCACTTAGAGACCTGCCAATATTATTGGCATCCATCTCTTTAAACTGTTTGAAATGGCAACTTCTGGCCTGTATTTAGATCCAAGCTCAAACTCATCAGTTCCCTTGATGTCAGTAGAATTTGGCGGGGTTACCTTAAAAAGTGTCTAGAGAACTAGAATTTTACCTCAGTTGCTCCCATGGAAATTACCTGGAGTAACTCCTGGTCCCTTTTGAATTCTCATCTAGAATTACTTCAGTTTCAGTGTGTTTAGCTAAGGGGCGATGGCAGTTTGTTTAAAGGTATCCAAGTTACTTTCAAGTTAATGATGTTTACTGATGGCAAGCAATGTGAGCTTGCCATCTGGCTGTGTTTATAATAATAGACATGGTTTGATGTTTTTCAGGAAATGTGTTTTGGATAAGAGTAGCCTTACTGAGTGCTGGGAATTTGTAATACTGATCTAGGCTTCTTGTATTTTTAATTAATATATCAACTGATGCTAAACAATCACATTATTATATTGACTTTTGTACATGGATACAGATCTGTTTTATTTTGCTGTAAGTTAAAGAAAAGCCAAACATCTGGAGATTATTGCCCCGCATTCTTCCAGAGAAAATTGTGGAGTATTAGATAGGCTCCTTCAGAGAGGTAAATGCTGATTAGAGAGGAGTTGTGATCCGAGGAGCCAGCAGCTTCCCACTTCCCAGGCCTATTTCCAAAGTTTATTGGTTGGAAAGGCAACATGGGGGACACAGGAGCTAATAATGAGTTGGGACTTCAGGGTCCCTTGGTCTAAAGTGATGGCTAGATTTTGTGGGTGTGGGGGGAAAAACTAAATTTCTATGGTATTCCAACTCTAAAACAGTTCTGAAAAGCAATTCCAGGACCAGTTCTAGAAGTATTATTCCATACTTCATTGCTGGCAGATGCTACTCACAGCTATTCCCACCATCACATACCTTTTAAGAAGAATTTTTTGTAGCTTGGTTTGTTATTCTTATATATTTTGCCCAGAGGAGTTTTGTAAACCTCTATCCGATGAAACCCTGTTAGGCTTAAAAGCTTAGGAAGACTTACTAGTAGTGAATTCTTAAATTAAGTTATTTTCTAGCATGCTGCCTGTTTCTAGAAAAATACTAGACCAAATGTGTCAGGCCCTCTGCTTTGAAGAATGGTTTCTATTAGTTTAGTTGCAACTGGCAAGCAGTTTTGTGAAGATGAATATTCCTTTCAGAAGTATTCAACAGCTTAAAAGCACTTTAGGGTGGGTTATACCTTGAAATGCTCAGGGGATGGAACAGGAATGTAAAGGGCCACAGCTATGTTGATATAATCGAAAAAAATATTTCCTTTAGGATTAAAAAAAAAAAAAGAAAAAAGCTCCATCCACATCAGTCTGCTGGATTTAAGCCAGTTTGTGCTTGAAGAAGATGTCTCTTCTCAATCCTGAACCAGTTGTTAACTTACAGCATAAAGTAACTCCAAATGGGAAACTTGCCATGTTTTATGGAATAGAATAAGCTTGCTGTGCCTCAGTGGAGACTTACGATGAAGAAATGATGCAAGGATCTCGGGCCTTAATATGTAAAAAGTCATTTGTTACTGAATGTGAAAAATAAAAAATGGAATATTACTCTTATGAACAGTTTGTGCGCATAAAGTTATTACAGCTGGTTCAACATCTTTTGGTGAAGAGCATTTTCACTGAAAAGTGCTATTTCCTTAAAATAAACTTTTTGTATCAATTCTTTGGTTTTCAAATTTTCTTTGAAGTGAAAAGATTTAGAAGGTTTTGGTAATGTTAGATATTTTACTGTTTTTGCAATGTAATGTGTGTATATATATTTTATATATATAAAATTCCTACTGCATCAATAGATTTTTCTTTTTTTTTCCTGTATTCCCACTTCTTTTTAGTTTTAAGTTTTTGATAGACAAAATGAAAAACATGTTAAAAGGGGGATGGGGGGAAGTCACTGTGTGAAAAATTTCAGCATTCTGACTTTCAGCTTGTAGGAGCAAAGTTTGAAATTGCAGAATTTTCCAGGAACCAAAAATTCCCAATTGCCAGATGTGCAGCCTCCTCCTCTTCCCCTCCCCTGTCTCATTTTTGCTATTGATTTGTAAAATTAATGTTTTGAAACAGAAATGCAGTATTACAGAAAGTAAAACTTTTCCCCGCCCTGAGAGCAACCACTGTTGTTTTTTTATCCATATCCGAAGGACGGGTGATGACGTGAGGTGTTCCCTTCGCAGGACGAGGCCTGTCCTGCTGCCCCTCTGCGGTGTGAGGGAGATCCCAACTACAGCTCGTCTCCCAGATGTACCAGCGTAGTGTTGCCTGCAGCTCTCGGATAATGCAGCCCGATTGCTGTTAAAATTAGATTTTTCCTGACAGCAGCTTTGCTTCGTTACCTGCTGTGGTCTGCAGCGCCACTTAGGAGGCCAAAGGCTGCGTTTGCATATAGGTGAAGATGTAGGTGTAGTTGTTAACAGCAGCAGCTCTGTGTGTTCCCAGCTTTGGACATAGGCCTGAAGTTTTCAGTTTTAGCCAGTGAGTTTGGCTCCGTGGCTGAGGATCTACCGCTGTGTCATTCAGAGGTGAGGATCACTCTCCTCTAGCCAAAATGAATGGGAAAACTCGGAATAAGCCGACGGTAACGGCTCAGGTTGGACGCTGAGGCCGTGGGTGACTCCCCACCATAGGCCACATACTACACCAAGATTGGGTCTGAGTTCAGGAGGCCTTTCCCTCAGGACTCGCCTCTTCGTTCAGCCGTGTAGCTGTGGCCCGCTTGAGATATAGTGAGGAAGGACGAAAGCAGGACTGATGCTTACCATCCTTTCTGATTCAAGTGGAAGAAAACAGGGCTCTGTACGTTCTCGCAGCCTTTTTAGATGCTATGAGTAAACGGGAAGAGGAGTCAGGAAGTAACTCAAAACCATGTGAGAGAAAACTGAACTACAAGGCATCTGTTTTTAAGGTAGAGAATAGAAAATATCTTGGTCTCAAACATTTTCCAGAATGCTTTTTCATTTGTTCCCATCTTGTTCTTCCCCCAGAGTTTCCAAACTGCAGAGCCCTTTGCCACCAAAGAGCAAACACACCGTGCTATTGACCTGTTTAAGCAAAGTTTGTTTGCTTGTTTTCATTTGTTGCCAAAAGCTTAAAGCAAGAATGCAGATGAATTTCCAAGCTCCTCTCCCCACCTTTCAAAAAACATGTTAAGTGTTATTTTGTGGAAAAAAGGAAAAAAAAAAGTATTTTGGAGGGAAAGGAGAGACTACATTTCATGAAAAAAATCAAATTTTAGTTTTGAACTTTTTAATTTGACAAAATATAATGAGCTCTTTAAGCTTCTTCTGATTTTGTTGCATTTCAGTTGTACTTTAAAGTGTCCAATTAATAAATTCAAGTAAATTATTTCAAATTACTAAAATATGATTCCCCACCTGCTCCAAATCTCTTCAAAAGTTTCCTCATGAATAATGTCACCAAGTGGAAAAAATGCCTGCTTGCAGTGAGCTTCTTGTCAATAATCACCTTTTTGCAAATGGTCTACAAGAAACCTAAAGAAAATAGCTTCAGACTACAAATAAGTTTGGGAAAGTTCGCAGTTGTTTCTAGACGCATCATCATCAGGAAAAAGGCTGTATTTGTCAAACTGTTGATTAAAGTTTCTTCTATTATTTCTCTTGATTGCTTACAATATTTCTCAATTGACCAGAGATTTTTATTATGTCCTTTGCTGAGGCTGGACTTGACTGTCAGGGGAGCGCTGTGGCAAAGCGGGCTCCATGGTCCTGCAGCTAGTAGGATATTTTGTAATTATTTCAGAAAGTG